TCTCAACCGGGCGTGGTGGCTCACACCTGTAATCCCAGCACTTTGGGAGGCCGAGGTGGGTGGATCACAAGGTCAGGAGTTTGAGACCAGCCTGACCAACATGGTGAAACCCTGTCTCTACTAAAAATACAAAAATTAGCTGGGCATGGTGGTGTGCACCTGTAATCCCAGCTACTCAACCTGGGAGGCGGAGGGTGTGGAGTGAGCCAAGATCGCACCACTGCACTCCAGCCTGGGAGAGAGAGCGAGACTCTGTCTCAAAAAAAAGTGTGTGGCATTTCCTCCTTCCCTCACTCTCTCTCCTGCCGCCATGTGAAGAAGGTGCTTGCTTCTCCCTTGTCTTCCACCGTGACTGCAAGGTTCCTGAGGCCTCCTCCTAGTCATGTTTCCTGGTAAGCCTGTGGAACTGTGAGTCAATTAAACCTCTTTTCTTCATGAAGTACCCAGTCTCAGGTAGTTCTTTATAGCACTGTGAAAATGGACTAACACAAATAATAAACTCAAATTCTTCACAAAACCTCCAGAAAATATGAGCTAACAGAACATTTTCCAACTCATTCTACGATACCAGTATTACCCTGATAATAAAACTAGACAAAGACATCACCAGAAAAGAAATTTATGAACTAGTATCCATTATGAACATAGATGGAAATCCTCAATAAAATACTGGAAAACCAAATTCAGGAACATATAAGACGATTATATATCACCACCAGGTGGGATTCATCCCAAGAACGCAAGATTGTTTTAACATCTGAAATCAATCAAAGTAATACACTGTATTAATAGAAGAAAGGACAAAACACACAGGACCATCTCAAAATGTGCAGAAAGAGCATTTTATAAAATCTAACACGCTGTCATGATACAAACAAAACAATAAACTAAGAATATAAGGGAACCACTTTAACCTGAAAAAGGGTATCTACAAAAAACCCACAGCTAGCATCATATTTACTGGAGAAAGTATGAATGTTTTTATCCTAAAATCAGGAACACAACTAGGATGTCCTCTCTCACTACCTCTATCCAGCATTGTACTGGAGATTCTAGCCAGAGTAATTAGGCAAGAAAAATAAATAAAGCCATCCAGTTTGGAAAAAGAGAAATAAAACCATTTCTATTCTCAGGTGACACGATCTTGTATATACAAAATCTTAAAGAATATACACACACACTATTAGAACTAATAAACAAGTTCAGCAAAGTTTCATGATATAAGGTTGGCATACAAAAATCAGTTTTACTTCTATAGACTAGCAATAAACAATCTGAAAATGTTTCATTTTATTTTGTTTATTTATTTTTTTGGAGACAGGGTCTCACTCTGTTGCCCAGGTTGGAGTGCAGTGGTGCAATCATAGCTCACTGCAGCCTCAAACTCCTGAGCTGAAGCAAACCTCGAACCTCATCCTCCCAAGTAGCTGGGACTACAGGCACTTGCCACCGCACCTAGCTAATTTTTAAATTTATAATGGAGAAGGGATCTCACTATATTGCCCAGGCTGGTCTGAAACTCCTGGCTTCAAGTGATCCTCCCATCTTGGCCTCCCAAACTGCTGGGATTACAGGTGTCAGCCACTGTGCCCACCTGAAAGAGTTTTAGCAAATCCATTTACAGTGGCATCAAAAAGAAGGAAATACTTAGGATTAAGTTTAACAAAAGTAGTACAAGACTTTTATGTGGGAACCTGTAAAACATTGCTGAAAGTAATTAAATAGATACATAAATGGAAAGACATCTCATGTTCGTGGATTGAAAGAGTTAATATTGTTAAGATAGCAATGCTCCCCAAATTGATCAATCCCTATCAAAATTCCAGCTGGCTTTTTTGATAGAAATGGACAAACTAATGCTAAGATTCTTATGAAAATACAAGGAACTGGGACTAGCCACAACAATTTTGACAAAGAAAAACAAATTTGGAGGACGTATACTTCCTAATTTCAAAACTGCTAAGATACCATACTCAAGATAGTGTCATGCTGGTATAAGAACAGACATGTAGGTCAATAGAATCGAATTGGGAGTCCAGCTATAAACACACTTACGATCAGCTGATATTCAACAAGGGTGTCAAGACTATTCAATGGAGAAAGAATAGTCTCTTCAAACAAAAGACTGGGGAAACTGGATATCCCCTTGCAAAAGGATGAAGTTGGATCCCATAGTAGTTTCCTCACTGCCATGACAAATTTCTCTAAACCTCATTAGCTTAAGAGCAAAGAAATGTATTGTCACACAGTTCTGAATGCTGGAAGTCTAAAATTAGGGTATCATGACAGGGCCATGCTCTCTCTGAAGGTCCTTGGGGAGGATCCTTCCTTGCCTCCTCCTAGCTTCTGGCTTGGAGATACTTTGCAATCCTTGGTTTGCAGACACTTCGCTCTTATCTCTGCCTCCATTGTCACATGGCATTCTTCCTGTGTATCTCTATGTCCCTGTACATGGTGTTCTTATAAGGACACCAGTCGTTGGATATAGGTGCAATGCTATCTTGTTTACATCTGCAAAGACCCTATTTCCAAGCAAGGTAATATTTACAGGTATTGGGAGTTGGAATTCGAATATATCTTTTGATGGAGGCACAATTCCACCCACAGCAGGCTCCTACTTCCCACCATGTAAAAACCATCTCAGAATAGATTATAGACCTACATGTAACAGCTTCAACTACAAAACCTTTAGGAGAAACCATAGGTGTAAATTTTTATGACCTTGGATTAAGCAGTGGTTTATTTGATGTGACACCCAAAATGTCAGAAAGAAAAGAAAAATTAGATAAATTGGAGTTTCTCAAAAATAAAACCTTTGTGTTCTAAAGGTACTGTCAAAGAGTAAAAAGAGAACCCTCAGAATGAGAGAATGGAGGAAAATATTTATAAATCATATACCTGATAAGGGACTTTTTATCAAGAATATGCAAATAACTCTTACAACTCAACAGTAAAAATGCAAACATACCAATTAAAACTTCAGTCCACAAGTTGCCTAATCCAGGGTCACCAAGATTTATATCAATGTTTTCATCTAAGGGTTTTATAGTTTTAGCTCACACATTTAGGTGTATAATCTATTTTGAGTTCACTTTTTTATATGGTGGGAGGTAGAGATCTGTTGTGGGCAAAGGATTTTAACAGACGTTTCTTCAAAGGTATACAATGGCCAATAAGCCATGAAAAGATGCTCAGTATTCTTAGTCATTAGGAAAATGCAAACCAAAACAGTAACCTACCACTTCATGTTCACTAATTTGCCTAAAATTTAAAAAGGCAATAACAAGTGTTGATGAGAATATAGAGAAGTTGAGGTCCTCATACATTGATGGTGGAATTGTAAAATGGTGCAGTCACTTTGGAAAATAGTTTGGCAGTGTTTCAAAAAGCTAAACAGAAAGTCACCAAACCGCCCTGCCATTCCACTCTAAGATACGTATCCATGAAAAGCAAAAACATGTGTCAACACAAAAACTTGTACAAAAATGTACATAGTAGCATTATTCATAATAGTCAAAAAGTAGAAAGAGCCCAAATGTTGATCAACTGAGGAATGGATAAACAAAATCTGGTTTATCTATATGGTAGAATAGTATGCAACCATAAAAATGAATAAAGCTTTATTTATTCATTTTTAACCTGGGTGAATCTTTAAAATATGCTAAATGAAAGAAGCCAGACACAAAAGACCACATATTGTATGATTCCATTTATATAATATGTCTAGAATAGGCAAGTACCCCCCAGCCCCTGGCGACCACTAATCTACTGTCTGTCTGTATGAGTTTCCTTGAATGTTTGGTAGAATTCAACACTTAAGCAATCTGAGGTTGGAGTTTTCCTTGTGGGAATGTTTCTAATTATGAATTCAATTTCTTTAGCAGATATAAAAGCATATCAAATTTTTATTTTTTCTTAGGACAATTTTAATGCATTGTGTTTTTCAATGAATTTATCCATTTTATCTAAATTTTTAAATTATTGGCATAAAGCTGTTGGCAATATCCTTTTACTGTATCATTAAAGTCTTGGAGATCTGTAGTGATGTCTCCTGGCATGGCTAATTTATGTTTTCTCCTTTCTTTTTCTTGATCCAGCCTGCTAAGTATTTATCAGTTTTATTAATCTTAATCAATGTGTGGCTTTTAAATTTTCTTTGTACATTTGCTTTTGATTTTATTCATTTCTGCCATTATCTTTATTATTTCCTTTAGTTTTCCTTCTCCTTTTTCTAAATATGCTGTTTTTTCTTTAGTATCTTGAGATTAAAGCATAGATCATTCATTTTCTACCTTTTTTCTTTTCTAATGTATTCAGAGTTGTAAATTTTCTTCTAAGAGCTGTGCTAACTGCATCCTACAAATTTTGTATGCTATGTTTTTATTTCCATGAATTTATAATTTCTGTTGTGATTTCTTCTTTGACATATTGAATTATCTAGAAGAATGTGGATTATTTCCAAGGGTTTGGGTTATTTTCTATATATATATATATTTTTTTTGGTTATTAGTTTCTAGTTTAGTTTCAATGTAGTCAGAAAACATATTTTATTATTTTAATCATTTGAAATTTGTTGAGATTTATTTATGGCTAGGCATATGGTCTATTTTAGAAAATGTTCCATGTACACTTTAAAAGAGCACATATTATGCAATTGGTGGGCGTGTGTTCTATATATTGTCCATTGGGTGAAGCTGGATAACTGTATGCTTCAAATTTTCTGTAGTGATCTTTTATTCAAAATTGCTACTTAAAAACAGCACATAGTTGAGATTTTGAAAATCCAATCTGACCCTCATCCTTTTGGACTGTTAATAGCCCTAGCTCACCACATTCTCCCTTCTGGTTTTTCTATAGCCCACCCACACCTTTAAAAATAGTCTCCTTGAAATTAAATCTTCCTCAAATTATCCTAAATTAAGTGTACCATGTGTTTCAAATTGCAGCCTCAACTGGCTCACTGCCTTCTTTATCCCAGCCTCCATTGCACTGAGGTTGGGGGCCATATGACTACTGCTGACCAATGGACTGTGAACAGAAACGACAGCATCACTCCCATGGAGCCTCCTCCATCTGTCTTCCCTATTGTGACAATCTCAGAGGCTACGTTATTTCCATGGCTGGGCTACAAGGTGGTGAAAGGCTGCCCAACCTGGTAAGTACTTACTTTGTGTGAGTAAGAAGGAAACATTGCAAGGGTTGGAGCACTGAGATTCCCGGGTGAATTTGGTATTTCTGAACAGCCAATTTTGCCTTGACTTGGGATCATGCCATATGTCTACGTTGGTACCATGAGTAGAGCTGTTGATGGATGTTTGCCCTGTTTTGCCTTTTTACTCCCTTCCTTCCTTCCTTGGTTCTTTCATTCATTCTTCTTTCTCTCTTTCTTTTCTCTATATTTCTTTGCTTTCTCTCTCTTCCTCTATTTCTTTCTCTATTTTTCTTTCTTTCTTAGTTTAGTTCTCCTGTGTTCCTGTTGATTCCAAGCCCTACAATTTTCTTCCAGTGAATTCCTTTTCTGCTTTATCCAGACAGCCAGAGCGGGTTCCTATTGCTGGCAGCTAAGAAACCCAAATGGTATACTATTTTCCGCTTAACATTATATCATAGACATATTTCCATGCTATTAAATATTATTCAAAATATTATTTTAATGGCTGCACAGTATTTCATCATATTTATGTACCATAATTTATTTAACCATGCCCATGTGTTTTAGTAAATTATAAACTTCTATTAAATACTTACAGTGAATATTATCACATTTACATTTTTGGCTTCAATCCTGGACAGCACCTTAGGACATCTTCAGAGTGAAATTACCAGCTGAATAGTGTGAGCATTTTAAAATCTCTTGTGGCATGAAGTTAATTTTTTTCCTAGAAATTTTATATCAACTTGTATTTTCACATGTGAGATGAATAGGAATACTCAGTTTTACTCCACTCAATGAGATTGAGTGCTATAATTATATTTAAGCCTTCTTTGATAAGCTCTAGGAAAAAATCTCATTGATATTTTAATGGGCATTTCTTTGATGACCAATGAAGCTGAATATTTTTAAATATTTTATTGCATATTTTTATTTCATCTTCTGAGCATTTCTCATTCACTATTTTTCTATTGGAATGTTTATTCTTATTGATTTTTAATTACTTTTTACATATTAGAGGTATTAATCTTTTGTCATATTTCTTGCAACCATTTTATTCTTGTTTGCAGTTTCCCAATGAAATAAACTAATTTTTAAAACAGAGATTTAAATTTTATGTATTAAATTCTACCTTAACCTTTGTTATTTTTTCTACTGCTTTAGGTTTAAAACGTCTTCATGTACCCACAAGATCAAACATTTGTTTGCTTTTTAATGATTTCCCTTTCTTACATTTAATTCTTTAAATCCTCTAGAATTTATATGAATGTATGGTGTGAAGGAAAGAGCTAATTTTATTTCCTTCCAAATAGCTAACCAAATGTCCCGGCATCATTTATTGAATAATCCGTTTCTTCCCTACAGGTTTGCAATGCCACCTCAGTAAGCTGAGATGTGGTAATCGCCATGGCAACAGGGCTGCCTTAAAAGCATTGTGCACACACAGTGAGAGACTAGTGCCTGGCAGAGTTCAGTCTGGTCTCATTGCACATCTTCCCTAATTAAGATGCACCTTTTGGTTTTGTCTTTTTAGGGGAAAAAAAAAAACACACAACAAAATGCTCCCTTTATAGCCACGAGGCAGAAGAAAAATTAAGGCCAAGATCCTTTCATGCCCAATACGGGCCTGCTTGGCTGTTGGAGCATGGGGGATCATGGGCAGCAAGTGAGAAAGTGCACAGTGATTTGCCGCTGTTACATCCTGAGAAACTGGAGGGATGTCATCAAAGTCCTTGAATAGCTGGAGAGTGGGTGTGGGATGGTTATGTTTGAAAATGCAGCTCTGATATAAAACAAAGCAAAGACTGTACTGTTTGCCCAGCAAGAGCCTTGCTGGAGACCCTAAGCCTAAGATAGAAGCTTCTGTCATCAACAGGCCACAAAACCCATACTTCCTGCTCTATGAGGCTTCTGAACTTGGTTCCCTGGAATCCTCCCTCTTTATCAGGTATCTGCGTCTAGACCTAGGGGAGACCAGACTGAGGTCTGTCCTTGTCTGCCTACAAGGACAAGGCATTCTACTGCTGTAGACCACTCGTTTATGTGCCTCTAAAATTTGTTTGTTAAAGCCTGAATCCCCAGTGTGATGATATTTGGAGGTGGGACCTTTGAAAGGTGATTAGGTTTAGATGAGCTCATGAGGGTGGGGCCCTCATAAGGGTATTAATGTCCTCATGCGAAGAGACACAACAGAGCTTGCTTCCTCTCTCTCTCCCCACCATGTGAAGACACAGCAAGAGGGCAGCCGTCTGCAAACTAGAAAGAGAACCCTCACCAGGAACTGGATCTGCTGGCACCTTGATCTTGGACTTCCCAGCCTTTAGAGCTGTGAGAAATGTCACCCTCAGGTCAATGGGATATTTGTTACGGCACCAGGTACTGTGTGAGAACTCCACCTTTAGAGAGGCTCCAGGGAGCCTGTGTGCTGTGTCCCTGAGGAGACAATGAAGGTGTTTGACACTCAGTTTGAATATTGGGTCACGGCAAAGCTGACTGCTGCTGAAGGAGAGATGCCTTCTTATGGCAAACCATAAGAAGCAGCAGAAGTCATGAGCAGGCTGAAGCTATGAGGCCGAGACAAAATGACGCATTGCCACAAAAACAGGGACAAACAGGCAACAGGCAGAGCCCCTGGGAATCAGTAATGTCTCGCTACCACTGAGGCCTTGGGACTAACTCAGATCCTGTACTGCTTTCTTGGGGCCTATTCTGATTCCAGTCCCTGTCCTTGGGGTCCCCTAAGATCCCTGTAGCCTTGTAATAAGCCCATATTATCATATTTCCCCTGCTGGCTTCACCTTAGAGCATTTCCAACAATTTCCAGTGCTTTTCCCCTTCTCACACCACCGGGCCTTTGCACGTGCTAGTGCCTCCCCAACTAGCCCTGCCTTCTCCTTCACTCACACAACTCCTACTAAATCTCTCAGACTCCTCAGCTGTGTCCCTTCCTAGGGGAGGACTCTCCTCCCTCCAGTGAGCCTGGCAGTCCTCCCTGGGATCCCCTGCTCCTTGTCTTCCCTGCCGTCCTCACTGCTGTGCTTGTTCTCTACTCAGAAGGAGGCAGAGGCTGGCCTGCCCCCACTCTCCTGTAGACTGACCAGATGAATTGACCTGGGCAGGGCAGGTGTGTTTGACCAATTATCTGGGCACCCCATGGCTCAGTCAAGTCGACACATAAAGTTAACTGCCATAGGGCCCCTTCGTTGTATTTGTCTATGAATAAAAAATGGCATCAACTCCAGGTATCTGAGGGTTCTGGAGGCAGGTTCTGTGATCCCTTTTTACAGATGAGGATGCGGAGGTCCAGTTGTCACTCACCCAGATCACACTCTTATCTGCTGATGGCAGGAGTATTTGCTGGGATGTGTGAGCCCGGCCATCTCCCTCGGGACACATCGGCTCATTAAATTTGCCAGCCCTTGCCTGAAAAAGTATTTAATTTGCCTTTTACAATGCACCGATTGCAAGTTAATTTTGAAAGTTATAGGTGGCATTAGAATTTATTAATAACATTGGAAATAAATCTCCCCAGAATTCAATGAATTGAAAACCTCATGAAATTCTTTTTTTACAATCCATAAAGCCGGTCTGGGAGAGAGGTGTTCCAGGAACCTCGGGAGTGGTTGGAACTGCAGGCGTGGAGGGTTGGAGTGGGGAGGGGGCTTCTGTTCTGATGTAGGCCTGTCTTGGCTCCCACCTGCCCCTGCCTATAACCTCCAACATGGCCTCTTAGGGTTAGGGAAGAAGCCACGTCCCCATTGTTAATGTCCTACCATATACCAGTGTCAGGGAAGAAGCCACAACCCCATTGTGAATGTCCCGCCATGTACCAGTGTCAAGGAAGAAGCCACGCCCCCATCATGAATGTCCTGTCATGTGCCAGTGATTGATTCATTTGCAGTGATTCATCTGTTCTGCACCTGGCCTGAGCTGGGGACGCAGACGTGACCTGGCCCACAGGACACTCATAGGTGACTGGAAGAGACAGAGCTGGGAGGGTGTGCTTTGGATTTAGGGAGGTGAGGAGTGAAGCTGGGGGACCCCAATGGCACCTTGACCACCCTTGGCTGAGCCTAAAGCCAGAGTCGGGCTCTTTCTGCCACTCTGGTAGGAGAATTGCCCCTTGTGGGTTTTCAGGACATGCCAGGAATAGGCTAAGAAGAGCGTGTCTTCGTGTGAACCTCTGAGGTTCAGCCCAACCCGGGCCACTTCCACACTGAGGCCATCATGTCAAGCCCTTGCCAGAGTTACTGACTGATTCGGGGGGTCCTGACTTTCTTCTCTGGCTGGTGGCAACTGCCGCGGGGCAGGCAGGGGTGCCTGGCTGGGGACTGAGAAGTTGCTTTCAGGCCCAGATTCTGGGTCCCAAAGCAAGCCTGCCTGCCGGGGAGACCCTTGGGCCTCCTACACTAGAAGAGGGGAGGCTCCGAGGCAGGGTCCTGTCTGAGCCTGCAGCCTTGCTCCACCCCAGGGCTCAGCTGGGCTGAAGGGATGAGGACAAGAGGGTCCCACAGAGCCAGAGAACTCAGTCACAGTCCAGGGCCTCGGGTGCACCAAGGACTATGGCTCAAATGAGTTCTAGTCCCTAGGAGAGAGGCTTTGGAAGAAAAGGCATTAGCTGGTTGGGTGTGGTGACTCATGCCTGTAATGCCAGCTCTTTGGGAGGCCAAGGCAGGAGGATCACCAGAGGTCAGGAGTTCCAGACCAGCCTGGCTAACATGGTGAAACCTCGTCTCTACTAAAAATACAAAAATTAGCTGGGCGTGGTGGCACACGCCTGTAGTCCCAGCTACTCGGGAGGCTGAGGTAGGAGAATCGCTTGAACCTGGGAGGTGGAGGTTGCAACGAGCCAAGATTGTGCCACTGCACTCCAACATGGGTGACAGAGTGAGAGTTGGCCTCAAAACACAAAATAAAAAAAAAAAGAGAGAGAGAAAAGAAAAGGTGTTACTGAAGTGGTGTCAGTCCCTTCCCCACCACACACACCCTGTAGGCACACATGTGCCCAGGTGCGTATACACTGTAGCAGATACGCATACCCACACACACATATTCAAGCACACACACGTGCATATATGTGTATATGCACTGGGCATACACACATATTCTCATGCATGTACACTTTTACACATGCACACATGTGCACATATGTGTACACACAAAACACACTCATTCTTATGCATGTGCATTCTCATGTGCACACACATGAACACACTCATTTTTATGCATGCACACACTTGCATATGCACACACATGTATAGCAGGGGCTAGAGTCAGTTGGCATTTCAGAAGAAATGTCAGGTTTGATCTGGACGCCGGGCCACAGACGGGGTGTGCGCAGGAAGCAGCCGCCGGAGGCAGAGGCACCAGAGCAGAGGAGACAGGCAGGAAATTTGAGACAGCCATGTCTGGGTCAGGCAAAGCGGGGACAGGGTGGAGCAGGGTGGGGCGAGGTGAACAGGGGCCTGCGCTAATTATCCCTCCTTAGTGCCCAGGCAGGTGGCCTCAGACTGGGAGCTCTGGGCACACAGGCAGTGAGGGCTCTAGCCAGCCCTTCCCCAGCTCTGGCTCTCAAAGCTCAGCTGTGAGCCAGGAAGGGACCTGGAGGCTCCTGCCAGGACTGGGCTGACCCTGGTGAGTCCCCTTTCCCCAGGAGGCTGTAGGGAGGGAGGGCAATTTTGGGCAGACGAGGATGACCGCGGTCCAGCCCTGCAGCATCCTAGCTGAGAGCCCAGGATGCTTTGCTTCCTACGCCGAGTCTTGGGCCCTGTGGACAGCTTGGAAGTGCAGGCGGCGGTGTCCACACATGCACACAAGGACCTTTCTGATGCTGGGGAGAGGATCAGATGGGCCTGCCCTGTCTCCTTGGCTGCAGAGGTGAGAGGAGGAGAAGATTTGAGGAGGTCACACAAGGCCAAAGAGCTAGGCTCCCCTTGGGGCTTTGAGGCCCTTCCCCCAACAGCGCTGTCCCTTTTCCTGCAGACACTTAGCGCTGTTTTGTACTGGGGAGCCAGCCTCCACGGCTGGACAGAGATGAGACCAGGCAATGGGCAGACCTCCTGGCTGACTCCTGCGGCTGCAGCCTCTATGTGTGCAGAAGGTGGCCAGGACAGGGACCCAGGTGACAGCACCAGGGGGCAGAGCTCAGGCTTGAGGCCAGGAACAGGGGAGCCACAGCAGATTCATGAGTGAGGGACGAGTGACGCCAGGCTTGCACTTCAGAAAGGTCATTCTACAGCCAGACGGTGCAGAGAGGCCAGACCAAGACCCTGCCTCCTCTGCTGACTCTTAGGGGTCAGTTTCCTCTCCCTCCAGCATCACAGTCCTCTGGGATCCCCGACCTGGCAGCTGCTTCAGTGTCCTGGGAGATTCATTCCACCCTTACCGAAATCTCTCTGCCCTTCATCTGCCCCTAGCCTTTGCTCACACTTGGCCTCTTCGGCAGCACCACCCCTGGGTTTATGTGAACTCTGCTTTTCATTCCAGAACCTCTTTCGGCGGGGCAGAGCATGGGTCCCCAAGTCCCACAGACCTGGTCTGGAACTCAGCTTCACCGCCAGCTGCCTGTGTGACCTTGAGGAAGTTACATAACCTCTCTGGGGCTCAGTTGACTCACCCCAGAATGAGAGAGGTGGCTGTGACATTAAAGGAGGTGACACATTTCACTGTTTAGCACTGGATCTGTCCTCACCATATTAAGGACCAACTCACACCCAGCCCCTTGGGGGAGACCTTCTCCCTCAGCCCTGTCTCAGACCTCCTCTGGGACCCATAGTATCTGCCACCCTGGCTCCATCCAACACACTTCAGGCTGGCCTGTCCACCCTGCTGGCAGGAGCTTGGAAGTTCTTTTTCCCCAAACATTCCTCATACAGCCCTCTCCCCCTCCCCCTAGACTCTGCTGGTCCCATCCAGGCCCTCCTATGGCAGGATCCAGGGACCAGAGGACAAATGAAGGCATCCCATGAGTCTATTTAAAAGTCACACATCGAGGCCGGGCGCAGTGGCTCACACCTGTAATCCCAGCACTTTGGGAGGCTGAGGCGGGTGGATCACCTGAGGTCAGGTGTTCGAGAACAGCCTAGACAACATGGTAAAACTCCATCTCCACTAAAAATACAGGGGAAAAAAAAATAGCTGGGTGTGGTGGCGGGCACCTGTAATCCCAGCTACTCGGGAGGCTGAGGCAGGAGAATTGTTTGAACTGGGAGGCGGAGGTTGCAGTGAGCCGAGATCGCGCCACTGCACTCCAGTCTGGGCGACAGAGAGAGAGAGAAAAAAAAAGCTATGCATTGAGCTAACCAGCTGTTAAGTAAAACAGGCTCTGTCTTCCTACTTTGACAGGTACTCCTTTCCAAGGACCTGGAAGGCCAGGTTTGACGTTGGAATTGTGACTGTCAGAGTCTCGTGCTGGAAGGTGATGGCCGGGGAGAGTCAGCCCCTGTCGTCCTCCAGCCCTTCTGCTTCCCTCACTAACTTCCACCTTGCCTGGCAGGGGTCTTCTCAGGGTGCACCTGAGGGTGCCCACCTGGAGCGTCTAAGCTCAGTTCACACCCTTCAAACTCAGCAGCCCCTTGGTCGAAAGACAAAGGCGTCAGTGGGCGTGGGGTCTGCCCTTAAGACAGAAGGAAGAAGACCTCAGCGGGGAGAGGGGGCAGCTCTGGGGCAGGACATTTTGGTGTCCTGGGCCATGCAGGCAAGTCTCTCTCTTAGGATCCCATCTCTGCCACTGGGTCTGGGGGAATGAATGCCTGCTGGTCTACTTCCTCGAGGAGAGGAGGTATTTTTTCACCCAAAAAAAATTAAAATAATTTTTAAAAATTAAAAAATGAGACTAATCGTCAGTTCCCAGTCCTCAGCGCTTCCATATTGCTGATCATCTGAACACGGCTAGGCTTCTAGCCTATCATCTTACTGGCTTTAAATATATATACACTCATCACCTATTTTGGTTTTGTTTTGTTTTGTTTTTGAGACGGAGTCTTGCTCTGTTGCCCAGGCTGGAGTGCAGTGGTGCGATCTCGGCTCACCGCAGCCTTGACCTCCCAAGCTCAAGTGATTCTCCTGCCTCAGCCTCCAAGTGGCTGTGACAACAGGTCATGCCACCACATCTGGCTAAATTTTTTTTTTTTTTTAGAGATGGGGTCTCACAATGTTGTCCAGGCTGTTTGTTACCTATTTTGACTTCTTCCCCTTGAAGTGTTGCTTCATTGAGGGCAGAGATTCCTGTCTTTTGTTCATGGGAAGTTCTCAGGGCCTGGCTCAATTAAGATGATCAATAAAAGATTCGTTACATGAAGGAAAGGAGGAAGGAAGGAATGATACGTGGTTTTGTAACTCCTGCTCTGGCAAAAGGAATAAAAGGGGTGAGGACATTTCTCCAGCCTAAACATACTCACACTCCCTGCCTGGGACAGTTGCCCAGTGGTTCCTGCCAAGGTTTGACTTCAGGCACCTGCCCTACCCCGGGTCTCCCTGTTTGCTGAAAGAACTGTGCCTGCTGGGCCCAGGACCTGTGGCTGGAGGAAGCATCCCAGAGCCAATGGGGCC